CACTCATTTCTCCACCAGCTCATGATCTGTCCATCCCATCTCAGTGTGTGGCTGTGTTTGACCACTTTGAGCCCATCTCTCTGCCCTCTCTGGAGCAGGTAATGTGCAGCATGAAGCCATCTGGTTCCCCCTTTGATGTGGTCCCCCCTCGACTGCTAAAGGAAGTTTTTCCTACCCTGGGTCCTTTTATCCTCGCTATTCTGAATAACAGTTTATCCTCAGGTGTGGTGCCAAAGACTTTTAAACATGCTGCTGTCCAGCCCCTCCTGAAAAAAACCTAACCTTGACCCCTCAGTCATGTCCAACTTCCGGCCTGTCTCCAGACTCCCATTCACCTCTAAACTACTGGAAAAAATTGTGGAGTCTCAGTTGAAACAGTTTTTGGGGGATCACACTATCCTTGAGTTATTCCAATCTGGCTTCAAATCTCTCCATAGCACTGAAACTGCTCTACTGAAGGTTTTTAATGACATTTTCATATCCACAGACGCAGGTGATTCTGTGCTGCTTGTCCTATTGGACCTTACATCTGCTTTTGACACCATCGACCACAACATCCTCATTTCTAGACTGGAGCAGTGGGTGGGCATCACAGGGTCAGCCCTTAAATGGTTTGGGTCCTACCTCTCTGACAGAACCTTCTGTGTCAATATCAAAGATTTTAGTTCGACATCGACAGCGCTCCAGTGGGGGGTACCGCAGGGGTCCATCCTCGGTCCCCTTCTCTTTTCTTTATACCTGCTGCCACTAGGTGCTATCTTCCGCAAACACGACATACCCTTTCATTTCTACGCCAATGACTGCCAAATTTACTTCCCCCTGAGGCACAGAGGCACACGCTCTATTCAGCCTCTTCTTGACTGCCTGGCTGACATCCAGGACTGGATGGCTTTAAACTTCTTAAGCTTCAATGAGAAGAAGTCTGAAGTCATGCTGTTCCATCCCAGTGGCTCACTCATGAACCATGACATTGACCTTTTCTCTCTAGCCCTGCTAGAGAAACAAAAGGTCACTAATCTGGGGGTGATAATGGACCCGTCCTTAAAACTCAACAGTCACGTAAACATGATGGTCAAATCCTGTTTTTTTTCGGCTGAGACGGCTGTCTAAGCTGAAGCCTATACTCTCCAAAAAGAACCTTGAGACAGTGATCCACGCCTTCATAACATCTAGGCTTGATTACTGCAATTCACTTCTGTTTGGAATCAGTCAGTCCTCCATTGCTCGTCTACAACTGGTCCAAAATGCTGCAGCCCGATTTTTAACTGGTACAGGCTATAGAGAGCACATCACGCCAGTTTTGGCCTCCCTGCACTGGCTACCCATTCACCTTCGGATCCATTTCAAAATTCTCATGTATGTTTTTAAATCACTGAACAGTTCCGCCCCATCCTATCTCACTGATCTTCTGCAGCCATATGTCCCACCGCGCTCTCTGAGGTCAGCAGACCAGATGCTTCTCTCAGTCCCAGAAACCCGTCGTAAGCTCAGAGGTGACAGGGCTTTCTTTGTCGCAGGTCCACGACTGTGGAATGAGTTGCCACTGAGTGTCCGGCAGGCTCCCACACTCTCAGTCTTTAAGTCTCGCTTGAAGACCCACTTCTATTCGCTTGCCTTTAACACGGTGTGATTTGCTTTGGTCCGGTCTGTTCTCTACTCTGTTGGCCATTTTAGTTAGCTTCTGCTGCTATTTGTATCTGTATTTCTATTTTATGTTTTCCTGTCTGCTGTGCATGTTTGTTTCTTTTGTACAGCACTTTGGTTGGCCTTGTTGCTGTTTTAAGTGCTATATAAATAAATTGGTATGGTATGGTATATGCTCTGGAGATCCTCCTCGAGCGACCCAAGGGGGGGGGCTCCCAGAAAGGGCCTGGGAACGCCTCTGTGCTGCGCTCAGGCTGTGGGCTCACATCTGAGTTGATGTGAGCTGACGCGCACTGAGGGGAGGCGTGAGCACCTTTAGAAATGTGACGCCGTTTGAGTGGAGATTGCAGTTTCCATGGGGAAACACGTTTGTTCCCGCTGCGGTCAGAAATGTCAGAGCACAACCTGGGCTGAAAGCGGGGGTCTTTTCTGGGCTCGGTCTGCTGAAAAGAATAATTTCTAGCTGCTGTGTCAAGCGAGCGTTTTGTGTGATTTCTCGAGCTGCGGTGACTTTTAAAAGCCTGTTTTGAGGTTACCGGCTCGTTTTGTGTGGAGGATGTGTGAAGAGAAGCTGCTGTGAGATCATTCGATCTGACAGTCAGGAGGGGGCAGCTTCATCAGGTGGTGCACAGTACCGAGGGAAAGTTCCGCTCAGTAAACCCCTCCACTCTGGTGATGGGGGCGAAGGTGGAGACAGGTGCCCTCAGCTTACTAGGTCCGGCTGCAGCCTCGTTTCAGTAAGACGTCACTGCTGGGAAATGAGGCCAGATGAGCTCAGGGCGGTGAGCTTGGGTGGAGCCAAATCTTCCTGCTAGATCATCCGATCTGGGCGGGGGGAGGAGAGGAACGGAAAGTCCCTTTGTGTCAGCCGCCTTCTGGATTATGCCAGGCAGCTCCAAGAGGAGGGCACCGACGGCTGGGAGCGGTGTGTTCGCCAATGCGGAAAGACCCGGGGGGGGTGAGCATCCGCTCGGCCCCCCGTTCCAACACTACGCTCTCCAGGAGGGAATGAGCAGTGGGGCTGCTGCTGACGTCGCCTTTTCTGGAGGAATCATCCAATTCGCTCTGTGACTCGGCGTCAAAAAAGGCAATGGCGTCAACCAGCGAACAGTCCCCCATCACAGAGAGGCACTCCTCGATGTTGGCCTTGAACAAGGCTGCTCATCTCTGCCTCTTCTCAGGAGGGAGGAGGTCACAGAGATTGCAGGAGGAGGCGAGGTCGGCGTGGCGAGGACCCAGGCATCCTTCACAGATGTCGTGCCGGTCAAAACTCAGCATGTAGCCAGTCTTGCAGGATGGGCACAAGCGGATGGTGCTGGTGCTGGACATTATATTCTTGTAAAAGCAATGCTTGTTGCTTGGTGAAGAAAAATTGGGAGCCGATTACCCGGTCTCACCGTAATTTATACGGACCGGGGGTGAGGCCCACACAGCAGGTGGGCGTGGACTAAAGTTTTCAGTGCTGCGCTGCGCACGCCAGGATAACCCCACTAGTGATAGCCTTAAAGGGCGAAGCCTATACGAAATAGAACAGCTAAGCTGAGAAACTAAGCTACGAGCTAGGCTAACAAGCTGACCTCAGGAAAAACCTCTGGCTTGCTAAAACTCCAAAATTCACGGTTGAAACCCGTGCCTTCGTTTAAAAAGTTTTTTTTTCCTCTGCAAAAAGAATCTGAGAACTTGTTTACTGATTTTTTTAATTAAAAGCTTTGTGTGACAAATGCTATGCTAAAGAACCGAAAAACAGGAATGAGAGACGGTCCATGTCACGTCAAGGGGCCTCCCTATCATTTTCCTTAAAGAGAAACTCTGCTCGCTCCCTCACTATCCATCCTTCGGTTTACTCTTATACTGCCATCCAGTGGTCAAAAAAGGTACTCCACACAAAAAATGAACCATTTCTGATTAAATTTGACAATAATTATTAATTGTCAAATTTCAAACAATATTATCTTTAATCACAATAATGTCTGAGACAATCATCCAGCAACATTTGTTATTGTGACAGGCCTAACTGTCACAAGCTTATATTAGTCATATTAGTTGTCACAGATGTGGTTTGGTGCAGTTATTGCCAATTGTTCAGTGTTATTTATCAAGAGTACAGTAATCTGACAGCTTGTGGATAATAGCTGTCCTTTAGTCTTTTTGTACGTGATGGCAGACTCCTGTCTCGTCTGCCTGAGGGTAGTAGAGGGAAGAGTCCTTGTGCTGGGTGGGTGTGGTCCTTAATGATGCTGCGTGATTTACGCAGACATCGACTGTGGTAGATGTCCTGGATGGTGTGGAGACAGCTACCAGTGATGTCCTCTGCTGTTTGCACCACCCTCTGTAGTGCTCTCTCACTGGTGCAGTTCTTGTACCACCCTGTGATGCAGCCTGTCAGCAGGCTCTCAGTGGTGCAACTATAGAAGTTTGTGAGGATGCTGGTGTTTGTACCAAACTTCTTTAATCTTCTTGGGAAGTAAAGTCTTTGTCGGGCTTTCTTGGCCGCAGTGTCTGTATGTAAAGTCCAGGACAGATCCTCAGTAACGTGACTGCCGAGGAACTTGAACCTGCTGACTTGCTCCACCTAAGCGTTGTTTATGTTGATGGTGGTTAATTCTGTGTCAAATAAGCATGAGATCCTGAACTGTTTCAATAGACATTTTGTTGCTTCTAGTTCCTTGTTTTCCAGTTACTAATGGAAAATCAGCTACTTCTCCTTTAAGCCAAACATCTACAAATCAGATCTCTCCTACAAGTCAATCCTCAGTACACCACACCTTTTCACTGCCATTGTTTTTGGTTAGCGAGGTTAATAAATTGTTAAAAGGTCTAGATTGTAAGAAATCTGCAGGCCCTGATGACCAGATTACAGAAGAGCATTTGTGTACCATACAGTAACACTAATTTAAATGTTTTTTTAGTACTGTTTGTTGGCTTTGTATTGAACTGGGTTCACATTTGAACTTGTTTTTATGTGGTGTAATGTATTGTAAAGTAGACTCCCTGATATTAGCTTATTAATGCAGTTGTGGTATTTATTATTGGTTGCAAATAATTTTACCACTTTTTTTCCCATTCCTCACATTCACAACACTCAATTTAGCCATTGTCATTTAAATTGTATTTGGGCATGTAATGCAGCAGAGCTTCGTCTGATCAAATATATATATTTTGGCATGCACTTTTGTCTGCAAGGTATTTCACGTATTAATATTGCGTACTGTAATATTTGCAGTGACAGCAAATTTTAAATATATTGCGCAGCTGTAAAGTTTTATCTTTCTCTGCCAGTGTCATTTTATTACCATCATTTACTGTAAAACTGTTTGGTGCTTACTTGTGGGTTTTTTTTTTTTATGTTTTCCCAGCTTTTCTCCTCCGGTATTTTTTGTAGCAACACACCACAGTTTGATGACTTGTTTGGTTTTTCTGTTCAAGACGTGAAGGTGGAGGTGAGCAGAGGACGCAAACTGGTAAGTAGTTCTAAAATTGTCAGATCTTCAGAAACCTAATCAATGTGCTGGACTTCCCTTAATTTTTGTTTCTCATTTGTTGGTTTTAGTTTTGTCCTTGGTGTAAGAAAAGAGGTGGCACCTCTGGGTGTGAACTGAGACGCTGTAAGAAGTCTTTCCATTACCCTTGTGCTATTGAGGAGGGAGCCAGAACTTTTCAAGATAAAAAAAACGAAAAATATGGGTCAGTTTGACATTTTAAAAATAGTATCCAATTCTAGGAAAATGTTTGGAAGATATTTTTTTAAAGAAGTTATTATGGGTTTTTTTATGCAGACTGTACTGTTTAAACCACAAGGAAGAAGGTAAGCGGGCAGCTCCGCATGTCCTTTGTTACTTTTTATTATACAACAAGATATAATTATAGGATTTTGCCCTTTTTTACCAGAAAATGTTGATTCTGCAAAAGGGTCCAAGTCTTCCAAGAAGTCTAGCGAAGCCAGTCCATCTCAGGTTTGTGTGTTTTCAGATTTACACTGATAATATTTTTGACAAAACCTATTTAAAGGGAAAAAAGCTGCTAACTGTGTTAAATTTCAGCCTCTTGTGATATTACATCTATGCGTAAAATTAATAAAATAAATATGAAGCTAGACCAATTACGGGTATTTTCCGTTTAAAAAAAATCCAAATTAACAGATGAGGTTAGGTTTGGCCAGAATGTCATTGTCAAACAATTATATCCATGTTTTAATTTTATGAGGATAATTGTCCTGCCTGTAACAAGACAGAGGGAAAACTAGATAAAAAAAAATTCCTACAAAAATGCAATGTGAATGATTGTTGCAGAAGAACTTGCTGAAAAACAGCTGAAATTAGCTATAAAAAACTGAAATGTAGCTGAAATGAAAGAAGCCTAAATTAGCTAAAGAAATCAGAAGGAACACATACAGTGTTCCCTGAATTAGGTTTAAATAAGCAGAAATGAGCAAATAAATTGGGAAATTAGCTAAAAACAAAGCTGAAATCAAAACAAAAATAGTAGCTGAAAAGGCAGAAAGAAGCTTAAACTATCAGAAGGAAGTGGAAAGAACTGAAACAAGCACAAAAATGTGGAACTGGCTGAAAAAGACAAAATTAGCACAAAACAGTTCAATAGTAGCTGAAATAAATGAAACTAACAGAAATAAGCTGAAAGGAGCATAACAATCTGAAATTAGTAGAAATTTGTTAATTAGGCAGAAATTGGCAGAAATTAGCAAAAAAAAAACGTATGTATCTGAAAACAGCTGAAACTGGAGAAATTGCATTTCCGGCGAAAATGCAGTGTGAATACTTTTTGCTTAAGAACTTGCTAAAAAACAGCTGAAAGTAGCTAAAAGGCATTCTGAATTTTAGCTGAAAAGAAAGAACAAGCTTAAATTAGACGAAAGCAGAAAAACACATATTTGCTGAATTAGGTTTAAATAAGCAAAAATGAGCACAGAAATTATGAAATGGGCTAAAAAAGCTGAAATTAGAAAAAAGTAGCTGAAAAGACAGAAAGAAGCTTAAACTACAAGAAGGAAGTGGAAAGAGCTGAAATGAGCTAAAAAAAAATGTGGAATTAGGTTGAAAAAGCTAAAATTATCTTTAAAAACGGCTAAATAGCAGCTGAAATTGCAGAAAAGTTAAAACTTTCTGAAAAAAGCTGAAATGTGCATGCATAACAAGATGAAATTAGCAGAAAGAAGTTAATTGGGCTGAAAGTAGCAAAAATTACCATGAAAAACTGGAATTTATCTGAAAATAGCTGAAATTAGCTATATAAAAAAAAGCTAGCTGAAAAGGTATAACAAACTTAAATCAGCAGAAAGAAGCAGAGAGAGCACGTGCTTGCCCAATTAGGCCAAAAGAGGATTAAATGAGCACAAAAAAGTGGAATTTATCTGAAAAAAGCTGAAATTGGGGGAACAAAATGGCCGAAGAGAAGCTAAAAATGCAGAAAGAAGCTTAAATTACCAGAAAGAAGTGAAGAGAGCACATTTTTTCTGAATTGGGCTGATAAAAGTTGAAATGAGTACAAAAATGTGGAATTAGCTGGAAAAGCTCAAATTTACATAAAAACAGCTAAATAGTAGCTGAAATAGCAGAAAAGGCTGAAACTTGCATAAATAAACTGAAAGGAGCATAAAAAGCTTAAATTAGCAGAAAGTTAGAAGAAGCACAAAAATGTTGAAGTTAGCAAAACAAATCCAAAAGGATCCAACATTTTTTCAGTCAGGTGAAAAATGACTGGAAAAAATGTTGGATTTTATACCTGGATTATTGAGCATGGACTTTGTTGAAATCCAAAAGGAGCACAAAACAGCTGAAATTAGCTGAAGAAAAGTTTTAAATTTGCACATGAGGAAGCTGAAAGAAGCTGAACCAGAACAAAATGTGAAAGGAGCAGTAAAAGGTTGTAAACAGATCTAAAGAGCTGAAGGATGTAAAATGAGCTCAATTCATTTTATATGAGGAAAAAAGTAGGGGTGCACCGATTGCAGTTTTCTGGCCAATCACCGATTTCTAAAAAGTCTGACTTGCTGATTCCGATTTTGGCCGATACCGATTTTGTTTTATAAGTGACACTGTCAGGTGTTATAAGGTCACAATGCACCTTCAATTTTCCAATCTTATTTTATTGAAAAACACCCTTGAACAATATCCTAGAAACAACACAAAGTTGTTTTAACTGGCCATGAGGTAGTGCTCTGAAATATAAATGAAGTTCAGACAATTGTTGTTAAAACTAAAAACATCGGTAAAATCGGTTTCTCAGGTAAGTATCGGCTGATTTCCTATTTCCCAAAATTAAGGAATTTTAAATTAAATTGGCCGATTTATCGGTGCACCCCTAGAAAAAAGTGGTAAAAAAGGCAAAATATTTCAAAAAACTAAAGTTGCACCAATACCAAAAGTCATAGCACCCTTCTCCTGAACGAGCTGAACATTTTGATGTATGATTTGTTGAAATGGTACAAAAATTGTGGAACGAGAAAGATGCTAGAAAATGTACAGAAGAAAAATGGATCACAATAGGGAATGCTTCATAAACGTTCACACAATGAGTTTGGACAGTTTTATCTTAACAGGATCATTATGTGAGTATTATACAGCCGTGTTTTATTTTTAAATTAGCAGTTTTTTTGTTTCCACTCATATAAGTATGGTATTGTAACCGTAAAAATGTGTTTTAATTTTGTTAAGGTTGTATTGCTTTCATTACACAAGAGGAAAAGCAATGGTAAGTGTAAGGTAGTTCAAAGACCTCTTTTACATAGTTCTGTTTTTTTTTTGTTGTTGTCATAAATTAAACTTTTTGGGGTTTTTTTGTCAGGGGCCTTCAGTGACTCATCAAATACAACTCTTGGATCTTTAAAGGTATGCTCTACTGACAGTTAAAAATTTATTTGTCTTTTAATTCTATGTATATGTCATTATGGTGACTGGGATATTTTGTTCTTTTTTTTTTTTTTTGCTTTTCAGAGACGCTTGAGTTTTACTGACCAGTAAGTGTGGAAAAAATACACAATCAGGACTTGGGTATCTTTTCAAATGTCCATCCATCCATCCATCCATTTTCTTCCGCTTATCCGGGGTCAGGTCGCGGGGGTAGCAGCTTAAGTAGGGAGGTCCAGACTTCTCCCCAGCCACTTGGTCCAGCTCCTCCGGGGGAATCCCAAGGCGTTCCCAGGCCAGCCGAGAAACATAGTTCCTCCAGCGTGTCCTGGGTCTTCCTCTGGGTCTCCTCCCGGTGGGACGTGTCTGGAACACCTCACCAGGGAGGCGTCCAGGAGGCATCATAAACAGATGCCCGAGCCACCTCAACTGGCTCCTCTCGACGTGGAGAAGCAGCGGCTCTACTCTGAGTCTCTCCAGGATGACTGAGCTTCTCACCCTATCTCTAATGGAGAGCCCAGACACCTTGCGGAGAAAACTCATTTTGGCCGCTTGTATCTGAGATCTCGTTCTTTCGGTCACAACCCAAAGCTCATGACCATAGATGAGGGTAGGAACGTAGATTGATCGGTAAATTGAGAGCTTCGCCTTTTGACTCAGCTCTCTCTTCACCACGACAGACCTGTACAGCGCCTGCTTCACTGCAGACGCTGCACCTATCCGTCTATCGATCTCACGCTCCATTTTTCCCTCATTCGTGAACAAGACCCCAAGATACTTGAACTCCTCCACTTGAGGCAGGACCTCCTCCCTGACCCAGAGAGGGCACTCTACCATTTTCCGGCTCAATACCATGGCCTCGGATTTGGAGGAACTGATCTTCATTCCGGCCGTGTCGCACTCAGCTGCGAACCGTTCCAGTGAAAGCTGTAGATCACGATCTGATGAAGCCAATAGGACCACATCATCTGCAAAAAGCAGAGATGCAATCCTAAGGCCACCAAAACGGATTCCCTCAACACATTGGCTGCGCCTAGAAATTATGTCCATAAAAGTTATGAACAGAATCGTGACAAAGGGCAACCTTGGCGGAGTCCAACTCTCACTGGGAACAAGTCCGACTTACTGCTGGCAATGCGGACCAGGCTCTGACACCGGTCATACAGGGACCTAACATCCCGTATCAAAGGGCCCGGTACCCCATACTCCCAGAGTACTCCCCACAGGGTTCCCCACAGGGTTCCCCAAGGGACGCGGTCGAACGCCTTCTCCAAGTCCACAAACCACATGTAGACCGGTTGGGCAAACTCCTATGCACCCTCCAGGACCTGCTGAGAGTGTAGAGCTGGTCCAGTGTTCCACGACCAGGACAAAAACTGCACTGCTTCTCCTGAATCCGAGGTTCGACTATCCGACGGACCCTCCTCTCCAGAACCCCCGAATAGACCTTTTTCAAATGTATCATTTTGAATTAATTTTGTTCATTTGGTCACATAACTTATTTTACAAGTTTGTATTAATCTTTATTTGTCATTTTAATTATTGGTAACTGAATGTGCTTTACAAAATATAGACAAAAAATAGAAACCAGAGCAGGGCTAAAGGACACATCCAGGCCTCCCTTGCAAAATAGATCTGTGATCTCAATGGGATTTGCCTCATTAAATAAAGGTTAATAATAATATGCAGAGAATTTAGTTAGTTTAGAGACACGCAGATGCACACTGGCCATTCAGAAATCACAGATAGAGCCGGCTTCGTCCCGCACAGATGTAAGTGTTTAGAAATTAAGTGAGCATCACAGAACTAAGAGGCATGGAGCAGATCTAGCGATGTTGATGTGGAGTGCAAAGCATTAAGTGTGTAACAAACATCTGCACAGTGACGGTTCCAGGGGATGTCACTAAAACTTCCAGTTATAACACTACCAACTTAATCAAGCATCTCCAGAGATTTCACCCTAAAGAGCACGCTGAGTTTGTTGAACAGAATTCAGCACTGTTTTTCTGTATCGGATCGGTATCGGCAGATACTAAACAGCAAATATCGGTATCGGAAGTGGAAAAAGTGGATCAGTGCATCCCTAGTTACTACCGCTCTTTGCAGCACAAAGGTGCATCAGGGGTGGGTTGGTGACTTGACAAAAGTCCAGTTAGGATATCTACATGTTTGGAGAGGTTCTTGGATGTGGTTTTGTTTTATTTCCTTTCCTTCAGTCCTCGTGGGGACGTTTGTCAAGATAGTCTGGAGTTCTAAAGACGGAAAGTTTGTGTTCCAATGGGCGGTGAGAGTCAAACAGAAGAAACTGTTGTGGATTTTCCTTTTCATAAATTGTCTCAACATAGAAACAGGTGAAATAAAATAAGTGCTTTCACTTAAAACAATTTTGAGTGATTTATTGACATACAGAGTGTGTTTTTTCACAGTCTGCAAGAAAGAGTGCACAGAAGACAATGTCAGATTCTGCTTTATACCTCTCCTCCGCGTGATAGTAGAAACGTATCGGCCAAGGCTAAATCCTTGGTTTCCAAAGAACTGGGTGAAAGTTTAACTGCACTTGGCTGTTTTTAACTGTAAACAGGAACCGGGCCGAACCAAACTGCGCACAGTATTTCTCCATAGACAGATGAAGAACAAACATGAGGACAAAACTGATGTAGCAAATATTAGTACAGCACAGAACCATTTGTTTAAGTTAGTTTCCCTCAATGTTGAGGCTTCCATCACTTTCCATGTGCACCAAACAGTCTAAACATGGCAGCTTGTTGTCGTTGGCATCCTCTCTGGTGAATTTGATGTTATCGACTGAGTTGATGTGTCTCATGAAGACTTCTACTTCTTAGCTTGGGCTTAGACCCAGGGATCGTCCACATATTTGAACCAGTGTTGTCAGTGTTGTTCCCTTGGAGTTCAGGGCTCTCGTCCACTTTCTCCACATAGGTATTGGCCACAATTTATGACACCGGACATCCCATGGTCCAACCATGCTTCTGCTAGTAAAAACTTAATTAAACTTTAAATATGTGATGGAAAGACAGAGGTCCAGCAGGGTCAGATCTGTTCCAGGGTGAAATTAGTCCTGTTGTTAAGGTCCATCCAGCCATCAATTATCTTTACCCGCTTCTTCCTTTTTGGGTTGCGGGACAGGTTGCAAGTCCATCACAGGGCCACTAACTTCCTGAAGCATTTTCTGACAGTTTGCACTGCTTCTGATGTGGGTACGCAAGTGAAAAGTGAGGTGACAAAAAATAAAGAGTTTCTCCTAGAGCCAGCTTGAAATAATGGGAGTTTGTTTACTAAATGGAAAATTTTCTTAGTTTTAATATTTGACATGCTGTAGTGTCTTGTAATTTGATCTACTTGATGTACCTAGGGTGGATTGCTCTCTTCAGGTCGAGGGTGAGGTTCTACCTCAAGTGGAGGAGTTCAAGTATCTCAGGGTTTTGTTCACGAGTGAGGGAAGAATGGAGCATGAAAGACGGATTGGTGCAGCATCTGCAGTATTGTGGACTCTGTACTGGTCCGTTGTGGTGAAGAGAGAGCTGAGCTGTAAGGCAAAGCTCTCTGTTTACTGGTCGGTCTACGTTCCTACCCTCACCTATGCTCACGAGCTCTGGGTAGTGACCGAAAGAATGAGATCATGGATACAGGCGGTTGAGCATTTTCATCTTTCAATCACTTCTTGGTCTGCTGCCTTCATACATCTCGTCCTACATGTCACTGCGTGAGTGCAGCTACAGCGTGCGCTCTCAGGACATTATTGCATGCAGTGTTCCCTCAGTGTGGACTGAACTTGGCGACAGGGCCTTCTCCTACTCTGCTCCTGTAAAACCTTGTAAAAAGATATGAAGCTCTCGACTTTGATCTTTGTAAGAGATTTAAACAACTTAAGTTCATGGCAAAAACCAACGCAGACATGTTCCTGTTTTTAGTATTTTACATCGCTTTATAATGTAGCTGTTTTTTATTTTGTTTTACATCACTTCTTTTATTTACTTTTCATTTTATATGCGTTTATATGAATGTTTATTGCTGTCTGTACCTCATATGTGGTTTTTGTTTAAAACAAGTCTCTTGTAAATGAGTTCTCATGGCTCATTGAGACTAACCTGGATAAGTTGAATGAATAAAAAGAAATCCTAAAAGGTTTTAAATTGCTTTACAGGTGTCTAAAGTGTTTAAGTGGTTGATGTTCAAGTAAACATTTTTGGTTGTAATGTTTAATCTTTTTTTTAATGCGATCCATCTTTTTTACTCTAAATTGTAAAGTACTTAGTATTTGCATTTCTTATGTTATTGTGTCATTGTGTCATAGGATAGAAGAGCAGAGTACTAACAAGAAAACTAAAAAACGGAACAGGATAACATCAGTTGATTCTTCGGATTCAGGTAAACCTTCACCCAAAGATAAACTTCAGTGATCTGTACTTCACACACTGATACATGTCCATCTGCTTTTTCTTTATTTCACAGCTTTAGCAGAACTTATACCCCCTTTAGAATCAGATTTAGAAGAAAGTGGAAGTTTTCTGACGCAGCAACAAGTAGGTCCACTGTTTGATTTTTCTCTAAGACATTAGAATTTCTAGGCATTGAATTGATTTAATAATTTTGTGCCTTTTCTTTTTTCTCTCCCCATAACTATTGATTTTCTACACCCGTCAGTCCCCTGAACCTCAGTTCAACGGGTATCACATGTTTCATTCTTAACAATTTAATAGCTCATTGGGAATTCTGATGAAAACTAGTCATGGTTATTCAGTCACATTGTTTGTGTTGGCTTCTTTAATATGTATTTTTGATTATTCTGATTTGGAGCTTTTGTTTGATAATGGTGGATACCTGAATCTGATGGGTTTTTTTTCTTCAAAGCAAATACTGTGAAGGACCCTCTGGACCCTCTGTGGGTAAGCAGCTAAAAGACATTCTGTGTAAGACGGCTAAAATGTCATGCAGAAATTGGTTTTAACGATCCAGTCTTACTGTCTGCATTCAGAATATCAAGTGGAGGTTGAGAGCACAGATGTAAATGCAGAAGACATCACCTTCACTGACTCTGTGAGTTTTCTGATTCACTTTAACTAGTCCAGACTTTTCACCATTTAAATGTACTTTTCAATTTTAAATTCTCATTTTTAGCTTTTACTGCATGAAACATTTGAAATTTCAGTTTTATGCATTTGCTTTTAAAGAACATTAAATACTAAAAAAAAAAAAATGTGTACATGCAGTATACTGGGATGTGTTTATGGTGGTGTGATGTGAGATGTGTTGGTTTCTCCAAGGATGCTGAGTCAGATAGTTTGCTTCAACCTTTCCTGAACCACATCAGCTCTTCGTCAGACATTAAAGCTCCGACTCAAACAGTACAAGCAGATATTCACTGGGCCGAGAAAGAAGTTCAGACGATCAAGAAGGAACTTGACGGTGAGGTCTTCCCTGTTCAGTTTGTCCACATCTGATGACGACGGTGATGTTTCCTCCGATGTTGTTGTTGCTTGCAGACACCATTTTTGGGCAAAGTTTGTGCAGTTCTGCTGAACAAAACGCAGGCTTTTATGTAAAGTTAATAGTAAATAGATGCTCATCAGCAAACTCATAAACACTTGATGTAAGCATCTGTTTAAAACAAAACAGAGTAACAGTCATGTGTTGTCTTCAATCCTAAATGCCTACTCCATTGTGGTAACGAAGTTGGAGAAAGTTAAAGTTTGGCAATTAAAATACCGTAATTAGAGGCTGATGTTATCAAAAAAAAGTTAAAGGGAAGAGTGTTATTAGTTGTCTACAATATATTTATTTAGGGATGCACGATATTATCAGCATGGTATCGGTATCGACCGATATTGGCAATAAAATTAAATATCGGACATCGGCTATTCCATCAAAATAACTCACTGATATAAAAGGTGCTGTTTTAAGTTGATTTGTAATTAAGAAACTGTCAAGTATATCTATTAATGCACTACTTCTGCGCTTTTCACTTGTCGTTTGTGAACAGGTTGCGTTTAGATTTGTGAAAATGTACAAATTTGTGCTGTTCAAGTGTTGTCATTGTGTTAGAGAGTAAATGTCATGAAAAAATTTGACATTAAACATAATCCAAGTTGAAGTGTTACATCGTTTTCAGCCTCCTTTTTTGGCATCTGCATTTGGTAGCAGGCCAAACTGACAAAGACCATGCAGAATATTCTAGTATTTTAATTCCACAGCAGAGAAAGTTATGTAGTTTCTGTAAGTAGGTCTAGGGAAAAAAATATCTGTATTGGTATCAGCCAAATAAATTTTAACATATCGGATATCATCAAAACTCCAATATCGTGCATCCCTACACTTTTTGGTTTGTTTCATTGTTTGATAGGCTTTTTGTCTCTGATTATATTCCAGAATTTTTACTTCTTAAGAAAAAATGTTTTTCTTCTAGAAAATGACAACACCAATATTAATTGATCAAATTGTAAGAGTTACCAATAATTTTACAAAAAATACTTTTGTCTAGACCAAAGTAAATCGGGAGCAGAACAGCTTGTGAGATTTATTTTACTGAAACCCTTGTGTGCTTAAACTTTGTGAATCTGTCTCTATTTTCAGACTTCTTCCCTGCGCAGAGTCCCACCTACAGACCTGAGGTGTACACGAGTAAACCCGCTGTCCCAGAGCAAAACCTCAACGAGCCACCGCTCTCTCCAAAACCCGCTGCACCTCAGTCTCCATCCAGCAGCTCATCTATGACCATGGCTTTGTGTAAACCCATCTGTGTGACTCCTCTGTCTTCCTCACCACCTTCTCCCCCACAAGCACCAGTTTCAGACAAACCCCACTCACAGCCACAAGCACCCTCTTCAGACCCAGTGCCCATCGTGGACTCGGCCAGTTTCTGGAGGAACTGCAATGCAGCCAGTTGTACACAAACCATCTTTTCTGAATTTATTAACGAAATGAACGAGATCTCCAGCAGAATCCTGTCTGACCAGGCCAGCCAGGAAGGTAAGCAAAAAAAAACAAAAACGAGTAACTGTAGGTCTATGTCAGTTTATTTATGTGGGAAATAGTGCAACAGAAACATGCTGTCTTTCCACAGATTATAACCGTGCACTATCTGTGATGATGGCTTCTGGAAAACTTGCAGAGTTTGTATCCAAGCAGCAGGAAGGTAAACCGTTTGCTTTGTGATGTATTTTGTCGATGCTGACTTTGACATCGCAGCATTTTTCTGCTCATTTCTCTTTATTTTCATCGTCAGTTGTCTTTGGGTGAATTGTCCTGATTGGGTTTAGTCATTGCTTCTGTTGTTGATGTGCACATTTTGTGCAGTTCATCACAGAACGACCTGAGAGACTCTCACAGGCTGATACTGATTAAAACAGAGGGTAGAGCATAAATAAAATAAATAAAATTCAATCCAGCGAAGTGCCTGCCCAGTCTTAATGGAGAATAAGTTAAAACTGCTTCGAGTTGGACATGAAGTGAAAGCAGCTGTAAAAATATGAAATGATTAATGTTCTCGCTTTCAGTGTTTTTTAAATTTTTTTATTCCACCTGTTTGTGAATATTTCTATGACAGAGTTTAGGGCCACGCTAAGAAAAAAGAAAGGTAAAAGCCATAATATTATGAAAATAAAGTCCTACAAGACTTTTTTTTTTTACAGCTCTCGTTTATTTTTATTTTTTCCACAAGTTGGATCCACGACTTGACCTGTCAGTCCAGCATGTCAGCTAATGAGCAATCCAAAGCTAAATGAGTCGTAATATTAATCAAGTCAAGTCAGATTTATTTATAGAGCACATTTAAAACAGAAACTGTTACCAAAGTGCTTAACAAAAATATCACAACATCAATTAAAATGTAACAAGATATATTTACAGCACATGGAATAAAAATATAATACAGAAAACATAATTAGAAACAATGAAATACTAATTCAGATCTGATGACCTTGTGTTAAATAGGAATATGAATAATAACAAAAGCAAAAACTAACACTTTTGACATTTACAGTTGGTAATTGTTGGCAATGAAGAACTAGATCTAAATCCAATCACCCTGTGTTAAATGTCAATGAGTATAGATGTGTTTTTAGGAGAGATTTAAAAGCAGAGACTGAGGTGGCCTGTTGAATGTTGATGGACAGATTGTTCCAAAGTTTAGGGCCCATGACTGAAAAAGCTCGATCTCCTCTGAGCTTCAGCTGGTTTTTGGTACGGCCAAAAGCAGCTGGTCTGATGATCTCAAAGCCCGAGAAGGAGCATAAGGATGAAGAAGGTCAGAGAGGTATGATGGTGCAAGGCCGTTAATGCACTTGAATGTCAGCAGGAGAATTTTAAAATTGATTCTGACACGTACAGGAAGCCAGTGAAGAGAAGACAGAACCGGAGTAATGTGCTCAAACCTGCGAGTTCCTGTTAAAAACCGAGCTGCAGCATTTTGTACGAGCTGGAGACGTGAAAGTGAAGCCTGACTAATCCCAACATAAAGTGAGTTACAGTAGTCCAGCCGGGTTGTAATAACTGCATGGATTAGTTTTTCAAGGTCGGATCTGGACAGAACGGACTTAAGCTTTGCTATCTGGCTTAGCTGAAAGAAGCTTTTTTGTAGAACAGAGTTGATCTGTTTATTAAACTTGAAAGTCCGAGTCTAAAACTACCCCAAGATTGGTAACCGACTGCTTTAGATGAGGCTGAAGGGAGTGCAGGTTTACAGGATCAGTGACAGTGGTAGAGCTTGGGTTAAACACAATGACCTCAGTCTTCTGATCATTAAAACTCAAGAAGCTTGCAGCCATCCAAGTCTTGATGTTATCAAGACATTTTAGCAAAGGGTGGATGGAGCAGGAACTGTTTGGTTTTAAAGGCAGATAAATCTGAGAATCATCGGCGTAACAGTGAAACAAAATACCACGTTTCCTCAGGATTGACCCCAAGGGGAGCAGATACAATGAGAACAGAAGGGGTCCAAGAATGGAGCCTTGTGGGACCCCACAGGAAAGAAGGAGAGAAGCAGAAAAATTATTGTCAAAGTTAACACAGAAATGTAAGGATGGCACCATCTAGTGGGCCTTCCCCCTGTCTGTTCTCCCTTGTGTCTGAATTGATTGTCTGATTATCGTCACCTGTGTCATGTCCTGGTTGTGTGTATATAAAGTCTGTCTGTCAGTTCTGTCATTGTTGGTTCGTCGTTGGGTAATGCCTGTCTTGTCCTGCCTGAGTGATCGTGTTTCCTGAGCCCATATGGAGGGAGCTGCGATCCGGTGCGGTGCCTTTTGGACCAGACCCGTCCTGGGACTGAGAAGCTGCAGCCAGGCGGTCGAGGTTCTGCCTTCGCCTCTCCTACTGCAGGAGGAGAGACGAAGATCTCAGCTCCAAAAGAACCACACAGCACCCAGGTTCAGTCCCTCCTACCCACCAGTCTGCTCTGGGTGGACGTCTGGGGAGGACGCCGAGTCGGAGGACGAACTATGGTTCGCCCCGGTACACCACCCACATCGCCGTAAAAAAGGAAGGAGAAGACGCAACCGGAACCGGTCCGCTGCTCTTCCGCCCACATCACCTAAACCTCCAGCTCCTCGCATTCAGCCCGGCGAGGCTGAGTTTTTTGGTTCCGCCTCCTCCTGGTCTCAGCCTCCAGCCTGCTCTCCTCTGCCAGAACCTGCTAAATCGGGGAGAATTTCGCAGGGGGGGGAGCAGTCATCCCCCTGTTCGTCTGTGGAGTGGACGAAGGGGGGCCAGCCCGGGGAGCGTGTTGGACAATCGCTTTCTGCTCCTATTGAGGTTGACCAGTTCCCTGAGCTGCCTCCTGTAGAGGACCTGGTGGCTCATCCTCTCATCAAGGACTCTATAGTGCTTCTCAGAAATATCCCTAAGTTCAGAGTTAAGGATAGAAGACTCCTGGTGGACCAAATCTTGGACATTTACCTTTCACAGCCAGATCTGATCAGCACACCGGCTCATCAGACGATCTTCCTGTTTGCCGTAAAACTAAGAGCTGAACTCGATCCTAGTTTTGTCTTGTCATACACTATAGAGCTTGCAGCCAGCCCAGAGCTTGCAGCCAGCCCAGAGCCTGCAGTCAGCCCAGAGCCTGCAGCCAGCCCAGAGCCTGCAGCCAGCACAGAGCCTGCAGCCAGCACAGAGCCTGCA